CTCTTGGCAAATTTAGTGTGGCTCAATATCTTTATCTCTTCTCTGCATTATTTTTAAACCACATAATTTCACTTTTCTTAAACTTTGGATCAAACTCAATTAAAAACCTTTTTTGAGTGGAGCTTAATGGGGTTTAATCTAACTTATACTCCATCTGTCCTAAAATTAGCTTCCCAATTTGATTTTCATGGTCAAACTTTTTAAAATTGACCGCATATTACGTAAAAAATACATTGAGTTTTCATATACATTTAGTACCAATATGTTCATTTTGAAATATAGTTTTGAAATGCACTATTCTTAAGTTATAAGTTCTCTTGATAAGATAGCGATGGTAGATGTTGTGCATTTGGCAAAGGCAAGAAGTGCCAAGAGAGTAAACTCGCTGCCACCAATCTACGATTAAACTCTAATTTATACTCCGTATCTTCTCAGTGATCCTCCGATCGGGTCTGAGGATCCTCGGAAATGACACTCATCTTTTTTATTTTTTTTATTATAAAATAGCTACCACGTAGATAAGGCCCCTTGTGAGAAGTTGACCAGTCCTTATTTAACCACGTGAAGAATGCCACGAAGTGTACTCTTATATTTAAAGCACCGACGCATATTTAAGAGTTAGGGCCCGAAGCCGTGTGGTGGTAGTTGCACCCCAATGCCTTATCCATTTTGTTCGGCTTAAAAATCTCTCGTGTTTTGTTTTTATTTATTTAAATAATACTCCCTCCGTTGGAAAAAACTCTTCCCATTTTGATTTGGGGCAAAAATAATGAAGTGTTAAATTATATTTAATTTCCAATTTTGCCCTTGATGTGATGGGTAAAAGTAGGATGTGATGAATAGATTATTAGAGGAAAAGTATGATGTGATAGGTAGGGTATGAAAAAGTAAGGGTAAAAGTGATTTTTTAATAGAAAGAGAAAGTGTTTTGTTGGAAGTGGAAAAATGAAAGAGGAAGTGTTTTTGAGAAGGAGGGAGTAATACTTTTTTAATATAATTTGTAAGAAAAATATATTTAATTAGAATATAAATTCAATATAATTAGATTCCTCTAAATATATAGTTTTGATATATCAAATTTTTATATCATTTATTTATTTAGATTATGTTTAATTTGTGGTAAAAGAGAATCACTGTTTGACCAAAAAAGTCAAAAAATAAAAAGTTTTTAAAATGATAGGGAGTATTTTCACTAGTCCAAAATTTAAATTACTTGGTACCGTATATTTTTTCACGCATTTTGTTGTTAGAACAAAATAATATCGTCGTTTCATCTCTTTTTTGTAGGAGTGTGTGTGTGTGTGTATATATATATATATAATAGTTATGATAATTTTAGGTAGTCTCTTTGTAAATTTTAGGAGTATACTTTATTTTTACATCAACATATACGAATGAATGAATATATATATATATATATATATATATATATATATATATATATATATATATATATATATATATATATATATATATATATTC